CGCGCAACTTAATTTTTTAACGACCCGCCCAGCAATGGGGCGCGACGGAGAAGTGCGCGGGGCGCGGAAAATCGCCGGGAGAATTAAAAAAAAAAAAAAAAAAGAAGAAACGCGAGACGATAATCCGATGTGCATACTTGACAATAAACGCAGCACCTGGGAGAAACGTATCGTGCTGTAATAATATTCGCTCCAAGGGCGCGCAGCAGGACGACGGTGCTGAAATCGGTCCGTAATTAAAAGCCACGTTACTTTTATCGTCGTCCCCCCTTCGGTGCCACCCCAACTGGACCTCTTTCCGTCGCCGCTGGCCGGCTCGTAGGTTTTTCTCGGTCGATTGCCTCTTCGCACCGTGGACTGACTTCTTCTCGCGGCGAGGCGGTTATCGGGCCGTTCGGCCTCATTTAATAAGTAAGAACGACACGCCGGTAGCCGAGCGCGCATCGACGCGAGCAACGCCCACTAAATTGTTAACGGCGTCGACTTACGGCGATCTCTCGGGGATCGCGATGCAGGGTTTTTATGCAAATCGACTCGTACATGTATACGGTGTGTCCGCGAATCGATAACGAACACCCAATAAAGTCGTCTCTTCCCTCCCTAATGCGAGCTTCTCGTTCTTCACTTCGTGCGTTCAGGATCCGTTCGCCATTACCTCGTTCTTGCACACACTCCTGCTATTTAATCTTGAATAAACGTTGTGTAATTCTTACGTACGTTTCTACCAATGCAGATTAACTTCAATCTCGGTTTAACTTGCTTTCTTTAGTTCAAAGGATTAGAAAAAGATAAAGATTAAATTAAATTGAAATTAAAGTTAGTCTACATTGATAGAAAGAACATTAGAGAGATTTTCTGTGTTAGGCTAATGTTCGCTTTATGTCGCGTCTATTTAACTATGCATTTGTAACGGAAGTACGTAAGTTGTTTGCGACAACGTAAAAATTAAGAGATAAGAACGCAGACTTGACAGAAAGTGTTGACAGAAAATCGCAAGAATTCAGGTTTTCCGTTTGGAATACATTATTCTCAATTAAGCTTTTAAGATTTCATAAACAAGTTTTAGAATTAATATATGCAGAAGAGAATTAATAACTGAGAAAATAAAAGTTCATTGACGTCTAATATTATTGCACGATATTATTAATTACCTGAACGCTTATTGAATTTTCAGACTGTTTTGTGTTACTTAAAAAAGGCATCAATAATATTGTACAAAATAATTGTATAATAATATTAAACATTTAATAAACAATAATAAAAATTAGGAACAATGAAAGTTAACGCAATAATTTTTTTAACATAAAACGTTTTATGTTAAACAAATAATTCTTGCGTTGCGCGATTCATTACCTTTATTAGTGTACACTGTAATAAATACATCAATATACCTACAAAAATAATTTGTTTGATCAAAAAATGGTTTCTTCAAATGAAAAAAAATTTATTAAAAAGAAAAAATAATAATGTTTATTTCTTAACAACACATGTTAATTATTTTAAAGTTGTACTTGTATTATTAAAAAGCAATCATGATTGTATAATATATATATACTTAATTATAAATATGTACTTATTGTTTATTAAATTGTTGGGAATCCGTTTATTATTATTAGTTTAAGCATCTAGGAATCGCTTGAGATGTCATGATACATGTTCTCCGGGAATAAGTTGTTATCTCAGAGTATTAGTGTAAACTGCATCTCTTTCTCTTTTTCTACGCTTCTCTCTTTCTCGGACGCTCTCATTTTTTTATTGTATGTATTTTTCTCATCGCTTTAGCGATCGCGAGACCGTTCGCGTACCTGTCGTGAAACATCTGCCTTGCGAGAAGCAAAATGCAATTAAATTGTTTATCCGATCGTAATGAGGCGGTAATCGCGACACTTAAATGCCGTTAGGTTTTCGGTCGATCGAGAGGGTCATTAGCGATACGACACAGTCATGTTCAGCTGAGTTTCGCGGATTTTTCAGAGGCCGAAAAACACGGTTGCATTAATTGCGCGAGTTACGAGCGACGGTGTTCTGAATTATGAGCTTAATTAATCGCGAAACGATCTTGCACGGGGGATAGGTGCCCAAACCGGGAGTTTTCGTGAAAGTGGCATCCAGCGGCCCAGCTGCGATCACGTGCAAATTGGAAGAGGCGTGACGAGAGTCCTGCATCACTTAACGCGCGCCGCGTTCCTTAATATATTTCTGAGGATCGGTGGGCGGTGCGAGAGCACCAGACGGTTTTTCGTAAAATATGGTACCGAATCCAAGACCCCGCGACCGAAGTCCCTGCCTTCTCTCAGGGCGGGCTAATCAATTTTTAAACGCGAGACTGTAGCAAGAAGCCGGAAAGTTGAACATAAAATTCTCAATCTTGATTCGGTGGCGTAATTTACACCAATATGAGGAGCGATGCGTCTGTCTTAACACTCGTTTCGAGTAGTTATATTTAAAATTTATTGATTATTTATATTAATTTGTCTTAATATGTATGTATTTTAATATTTTTATTAGGTATACAATATATTAATATGTTTCTGACATGTTTTCTAAATTAGTTTAAGCATTTAAATTATTTGTAAAAATTTTAGAACTTTTAACTTTTTTCGTCTTTGTTTTATGACAATGCGAGGAGTGATGTGTCCGTCTAGTCTTGCGCTAGTTTCGAGTTATGTTAATTTTATATTAGTGTATAGATATTAAAATTAAAATTAAATTAGAATTAAAATTAATCCGTTATCCATACTAATTTGTTTTAATGTTCTGTCTCTTACTATATAATTATATTTTATTTATTGCATGTCTGTCTCTCTAAATTGTCTCTACTTTATACAATATTATGTTTAAATTTTTAAATCAATTTCAGAGGTTTTAAAATCCTCAATTCTTTATAATAAATTACATGTAATATTTTACTATCGTTGTCGATATTAAATAACTTATGTTTTTCGCATTCTGAATTCTCTGATACACTCTAAAATCTCTCTCTCTCTCTCTCCTCTGTCTCTCTTTACATCAATAAATTTTAAGAATTCAAATTGATTTCTTTTGCAAATAAGTGAATTCTTACGTCCTTTAAATTTTAAAAATTAAAAGTGAATATTTTGTTGAAATAATGACGAATTACATCAAGTACAAAAATTAAAAGAAATGATCGAAATGCCTTTTTTGTACAAGCGATGAACAATACTGATAATCGGTTAATCATACAGTCATCTGTTAACAACGGAACGTTGGCATCAAAGATGATCTCGCCAGATCTCGCGATGACGGCGGCATTGAACAAAAAGAATATGCATTCGCATATATATAAATATATATATTTTCCCGTCACGCGCGTGTATCCGCCTCATAGCTGTAAATGCAGAGAGGAGAGAGAAAGAGAGAAGGAATGTACGTGTGAGCAGGTGCGTCGTCATTCATGCAGATAGATGATCATGGATAATTCGGAATCGGCCGCGTGCGCGCGCTCATTTCGGTGCCGATCTCTCTTGCTTCAACGTTTAACGTTGTTGTAAATTTCCGCCTTGAACGCGAGAGATCTAAGCGATAATTTAGCCTGCGCCGTGTGCGATTAAGTGCCGACGTTCTAATGGGATGTAATGATCGGCCGTGACGATCGAGAAGAGCTGCATGTCGATAGGTCGGATCCTCGCGATGCGAAACGCGATGCAAGAAACGAGCCGGATGATCGCGCAAAAACTTGTCCCGGAAATATAAAATGGCGGAATGTTAGTTGAAACACGCGGCGTATAATAAAAAAAGGTAAAAGAAATAAGAAAATAAACAGAATCGAGAATTCCTCGATTCGAGTACCGTAGAATGAGACAAGATTGTTAGAGTTTTTGGAATCATTTTTTATAATAATTTCTGCAAAATAGCGTCTATATTATTAGAAAAAAATTAAATTTCCCAAAAATATAAAAATTTCATGATTTATTTTATAATATTATGTCTGATTGTGAGTAAAATTATAGCAATCCTCTTATTAATTTAAAAGTTTCCTTCATTTCTTACGTAGTAAAATTGTATTTTGTAGTATTTGCAAATTTAATGAGAAAACGATAGCGTTACAAATTAAATCAAATTTTTTATACATATAATAAAACTCCAATAAATATTTGTGCAGAAATTAATTTGAATTGTAGTTTGGAGGGGTCGAATTAAATACAACTTAAAAGCTATATTAGATAAAACTATTATTTTTAAAACTGCAGCAGAATATTTATAATAATTTTGCCATAAAGCATAAACCATTATGCTAATAAAGCGTAAGTCATCATTATAAGTCGATTTATTTGTTTTGTTTTTTGCATTTGATTTCAAGGCATACCTACCTACAACCAAAATTTTTTAGCTGATTTTTTGGTTTTTAACTAATGATTTTAACAGCCACACAAACCATCCTTAAAAGCTGACCAATAATTAATCAACTTTTATCGCACGTACGGACCCCTTCGTTCGTAATTTCTTTCGAGCGTTTTTCGAAGGCAATTAATTCGTCCGTGGATCTGGGGATGATTCGCGTGAGAAAAAATCGAGGAAATTGTCGGCCGAATAACGTATACGCTGACACTCTAATCGCGTTTTAATTAACCCCTTCCAGTAGGACGTCGGCGCCGTGCCGACACGGGAGTTATAGATATTTCATTCGAAAATATAGGTTTTAATTTAGCGGCCGCTCGATCAACGTCCGGCCGTTATAAATGGACGCTATGATTGCTCGTTACACCGCTATGCAGAAAAGCGTTCGCCGGGACCGGACGGTTTGGAACTCCCTGGCGAGGAGAGACGATTGCGGCGCAGACAGATTAGCTGCTAGGCCAGCTGAGATATATTTTAATCGAGTTTCGTGAATTATTATTCGATCAGTTATCGATATGACGCCAGCGCGAATTTCAAACCTTCCTTAACTCCTTAATTAAATTCCCTTTTCATTCTGAATTCTGAATAGAAAATTGAGAAAGTATTACTATCTCGGGTTTTTCTCGAGAGCTCAAACTTACCGATCGAAGTCTGTAAGTCTCGATGAATCTCTAAAACCTTTGGCGAACGGATTACTGTCGATCTTCAATCTTGTTATCTGCAAGAAACATATTCTTCTATTAAGTTTTATATTTTTTCAAAATTTCAATAATATCTAAAATTAAAATGCGAAGGAAAAGATTTTGTATTAAGAAAAGAAATACTTTATTATTACGTGTAAATAGCAACTATTTATAGGTTGTTTGAACTACGATACAATGGTGGAATGATTTATGTTGCAGTAATGACGTTACTACAACCAGATTGTTTCTTGAGCATTCAACCACGAATGTTATAATGGTAACTGGATCATTTGGTTAATTTAGATAAATTATATTGATGTGATGTAAAGACTAATAGTTATCATTGCTCTTAGATCATTGTAAATGATCCAAGCCATAAAAATAGGTTAAGTTATACTACCAATTTCTATTTATAATAAAGAAATGTTTTGTGCGGTGATATTTTTGATAAAAAGGTATAAAAACTTGTTATATTTTTTTATCAAAAATATCATCGCATAAAACATTTCCTTATTATAAAATAGAAATTGGTACTAACTTGTAAAAGAAATACGTGAAAAAATATAATTTGATTGGATAAATTTTTGGTGAAATACAAACGATTAAAAAATTCAAAAAATTATATTAGAGTTATGTTTAGTTAACCATAGATATCTTAATAATCTGATTGAATAATTTCAATTGCAATTCCTGAGTCGTTCATATTTGAACACATCACGATTGACGCAACTATACGGATAGATAACTTATCCGTAGTAAATTGTCACCCAATCAAGTTTTGGTTGTCACAATCAGATCACGGTAACTAATACGATAGTTGACACATCAAAGTAAATAAATCATATCAATCATTTACATTTTTATCACATAAAGATAACTAGGATGATATAGCTATATTGTTCACAACTAAAATACTTCTGGTTATGTGAACTATATCTTTTTTCCCGTAGGACTCATATATTTCTTTTTATTAATATTTTATTATAACATACTTACAAATTTTTAATAAATAAGAAATGAAAGAGAAAGTCACTTCTGTGTATCTGATACGATGAATAACAGATTTTCCTTCTTAACACTAAAACCGCGGTTGTGCCATTTTTAATTAATTTGATAGTTCTTTCTTTTCCAATTAATTTGAATTTGTACGTGGAGCTATAGATTTTGTGACTTTTCATAAATAACGATCATAATTATAATAATTACAAATAATTTTATTTTTATGGTGAAAATCTTCTCTCGTAAAAATCTAAACTTACCTTGAATTGAGATTAAATTAATTAATGCGGTTTTAGTGTTAAGTAATATGAAAAAAATTGCAGGTCTCTCTCAAAAACTAATTCGAAAATCATAGCTTCGATCTCGCGATACTGAATTCAGTGATCTATTCGAATAGCTTATGCTTGTCGAGAGTTGACGTTGCACTGTATAATCGAGTGTTATTCGACGAAAAGTCTAGAGACTTACCAGCTGATTCTGATATGCCGTGACAGCGGTGAAAATGGCTTCGGGAAAAATAAACGTCTTATACTCCTCCTTTTGGAGGTCGGTGATGTGCAAACTGCTATCGTCGGTATGTCGACAGCGAATCAAGTGTATCCTCGGCTGATACCTGTGCATTGAGTTCAGTACAATCTGCAACAACAAAAAGATCTGCCGTTTGATTATTGCTCCTCTAGACAGGATTAAGCGCGAAAAATTGATTTCACGTTCTCTTCTTCAATGAATTCCGTGAACAGAATTGCGCGACATGTATCGCGATATCCTCAATAACAATAAAATACGATTATCGCTGCGATCGGCAACGATATTTCGCGCGAACGCACGCCTTAAGTCGCCGATTATCGTAAGTTATCGGATAATTATTTAGCTTATATGTCTCGGTACTTAATATATTTTGCGTCCAAAGGTGAAACGCTGGACTCCAGTTATCACAAGTAGATTATCAGCGATAGAACGCCTCTACCTTATTCGTCTGACTTTTATGTTTCTAGAAATGGGTCACAGCGGTCCATAGTGTAATCTTCCTAATGGACACGAGAGATAATAAATACAGAGGCAGAGAAAACTTATATATAATAACATAGCAACGTGGAATATTCACTATCGTTTAAGCCCGATTCGCCTGGTTTAGCGAAAATTTGTTTCGAGCAAAATTTTAACGGCAAGATCCACTCAGAATAAAACGAGAGCAACCATCTTATCGTTAAATGTCTTATGTACATTGAGCGAACAAATGGTTGCAATTACTGCAATTTGTAATAAAGAATTGCAATATAATCATTACTGTTAACATTATATTATTGTTAACACTATAGCAGTAATAATTTATACAATATTTGAAGAAATAAAAGTTGAATTAGAGTAAATTCCAAGATAAAATGATCCAAGATTGTATGGATCTTTAAAAAATTAGAGGTAGATGTTTAAAAATTTAAAAGCTGAAATTAAAAAAATGTTTTGAAATTTCAAAAATTTATGTGATGTTTGGTTAAATATATCGATTTCAGATTACAAAAATGGAGCTTCAATTAATGATCATAATTATTTTACCATGCAGTTATAATCACAAATATCAAATATTTTTCTCTCAGTAGTGTAGCAAAATCTGTGATTTAAAAGATTCTCCTAATTTTCGATATGAGACAAATAGAAATGGATCGCGTCTCGTTATTTCAAGTGAGAATCCCATTTCCGCAGAAAGAGAGACAGAGAGAGAGAGAGAGAAAGAGAGAGAGCGCTCTGTCGCAGGTAGATACCGTAGATAGCGCGCGGCGCTACAACCGGGGCGAAGTCCCGTATCGATTTCCTGTCCGAAACAATGTGGCGCGACGAAACAAATTCCCCGCGACGGTATCATGTAACGCGCGAGCAACCGCGCGCGCATCCCACGTTACCTCCGCCTTGCCGTTTTCGAGGGCAATCCGCGCGACGGGACATACGAAGGTGATTAGAATCGGGGGATGGTTTGGATTAAAATTAACTCCTGAGAGAGGAGAAGATAGAAAGAGACAAAGAGAGTAATTAGACATTGAAGATTAAACTTGATACTCGCATCTTGTGAACCGCGAGAATATCCAAATTACGCTTTCGAGTAAATTACGCTGAGATAAAGCGGCCTCTAGACCGCAGATCAATATTATTGCACAATATTTGATATCGCACAATATAATAGATCGTCTGGAGGCTATATTGAGCCACCAGACTCTCCGTAGAAATTTCATACATTTTTTAAGCAAGACTTTTAGCAGAAATTATACTAGACAATTACATTAACTCTGTCTGTAATTGAAAAGTGAAACTACTTATTGTTAATCAAGATGTAACTCTTTGTCTGCAGTTACGTACAAAAAATGCACATACAAAATGAATCTATTTACTGGAGAAAAACAAGACAATAAGGACTATGTAATATTTTTACTAAAATTGTTTTAACTTTAAATAATCTATTAATATTAGACAATAACTAGGCAGATGTCTACACGAACGTATTTTTATCAGCCTGCTGCAGCTACTGAATAAAACTTATCAAGTTCTTGTTTATATTTATCACGCAATATTGTTACAATTAATAAGAATACAATAATAAAACAGTAAAGAAGAGTCTAGAAAAACAGCCTGTCTATCAAGGCTGTTTGTCTTAATTGTTTAAAGAGCATCAATAATATTGTACAAAATAATTGCACAATAATATTGAGCATTTAGGGACCATTTGAGTCGACGGCACGTAGAGAGGAATTACAAGATCAAAAAAGATTGTACATATCACTCGCGCGTGTATTTGTGTAAATACATTTTTGGAAACAGATGTGGATTCAATAGACCTCGGGACCGTGGACGGTAAGCTGCTAATTACCGAAATCGAGCCGGTCGGACGGGCTCGTTAGCATACATCGGGAATGATCCTAGAACGAGAAGCAGTCTTGCAACAGACGGAGGCGCGAGAGAAAGAGAGAACGCGAGGGAAAGGGAGAGTGCGACGGTAGCCGGACTTATATATTATCGCTAATATGAAATATGGAGGCGGCTGCGGTGCCGCAACTGTTGAGACTTAACGGCTGCAGGTGGCCTGGTAGAGTCTTTGGGCATTTCGGGCCCTTCTCGCCGGCCCTGACTTTTAAGTCCCGTTCGCGCGACCGGCTTCGAACCTCGGCTATCCTTGGCTACGCATACATACACGCGTGCGAGCAAGCGGACGCGGCGATCACGTATTATGTATACAAAAAAAGTGTATACTATATACAAGATATTTCGTAAAGACCGTAACAACGCTTAGGGATAAAGTCCTGAGATTCCTGCGAGGACTCCTGAGAACATTTTGAAATGAAAATTCTATACCAAACTGTCGAGGCTGTAATAGTTTTTGAATTATAAGAATTTAAAGTTAGTGAATTGTAATATCGTCTAATAATCTTCGCGTTTTCTAAATGCGCGAACTTTAGGTATGATTCGATTATTTTTTATATGTACTTATATATAATTCAAAACGACCTCAGGAATCTACCTTTAAGCGTTATTACAATCTTTACAGGCACCCTGTATATTATATATGTATATATATATATATATCATATATACATATAGACATATACGATTAAGTATACACGAATATGCATATCCGCGACACGGCTGTCCGATAAACCTGTCGTGCGTACATCCGATCGGATAACTTATTCCGTCGAGCGCGACCAGTTTGGGAACTCGATTATCTCGATTTTCCCGGGAAACATGTGTACGAACAATGCTTCATTCGACAAAATTGTCAACGAGCGATGAAAGGGAAACGTCGGCTCCGCCGGAATCTCGATCTCCCGTTATCGTAAACTGTCATGAAAACGAATGTAGTCGTTTTCCTATCTGATTTTATAATTCAGTTATAATCGATTCATAATTAACCCTTATGAAGTGTCTTTATGAGTATAAATTACACATCTTTAAAGTTTATTTATTTCCTTTCGTTACGTGGGATGCGGGAAGACGGCTTGATGCGGGCTTGCGTTTTATTCCGGCAAATTGTGTGTCCGTAGGAGTTTACGACACATTGTAGATTACAATCGTAAGAACGTACCTCTCGTCGATGGAACGTGTTCTCACCACAATCATCGATGTTCAAGACAAATACACAAATAGCCAAGCATGAATACACATTGTGTCAGCGCTGAACACGAGGGATTTACGATGTGCAGCTGACAGCTATGTGTATCTATCGAATAAAATCAATTTTTCTACAAAGAGATGAAGAACATCTGGTCTGCAGCGATAATTTCTATATATTCCAAAATACTTCACGTCTCGGAAGAAAATATTATTTCCATGAAATGTTCAAACATGGAAGATGTGGAGATCCAATAAAATTGATATTTTACAAAATTTGTAAAGAAATAAAAATTGAATCAGTAAATAGACGAAACAAAATTATGTAAATCTTACAAAAGTTCTGAGTTAGAAATTTAAATATTTAAAAACTAAGTATTACAGACTTTATTGCTAAAAACTTATGTGATATTTTTTAGTATATAATAATTTGTTTATTATAAACAACCTAAATCGTAATATAATGTTCTGCGGAAGGTTATTCTTTGAGATTTCTTGTTTTTCCATATCATTGAGTTTCTCGCGTAAAAACATTTTCCGGAAAAAAGAAATCTCGTGCCTTGCGTGCCGTAAACGACGTACTTTTTTCTTCCAGTTCAATCGATTAGAGTCCATTTGTAATAATTAGCTACGAAAGGCTACCGAGAAACCGATCCGCTCACTGGCGTGATTTGCATGTGGCGATTTATCAAAGATCGCGTCATCCACGTAATACATGTTGATAGCGGCATTACACGGGCGATTTATTGGCATTTTTCTCCCCACGATAGATAGCAATCACGACGGAATGCCAGGTCGATCGTTAATCCGAGTCTCAATTAATACAAACGTGTTTCTAGATATGTATACTGTAATATAATATAGATAAAGTAGAATATCTCGGCAGCGATTTGTAGGAAAAATTAAATTTAAAATATCTTCGCAGAGAGAAAAGGCAAAGATCAGTCACAGTAGGGTTCAATAATTTAAAAGATCATAAATATCAGGATCTGATAAAAAATCAAGGATAAAAGATCCCAAAGTCTGACAAATTAAGGATTTAGTGATTCAGACAAATGTGAAAAAATCCAAAGATCACGACTATATTTTTAGAATCCAAATATCTTAAAAGAGGTTTTGTATAAAACCTTTTAAAATAAAATATTTTTTATCTTTAATCAAAGATGCCAAAAATTCTGAAAATGCAAGATTATTGTGCACCGTCAAACAAAAACGATACTTTTGCGATGACAAAGCTGATTATAATCCAGATTGTCGCAAAATATGCAAAGCACCGAAACGTGCTACGGTTCGCAATAGAAACAAAAAGGATCTCGCACTAATTATATTTATAGAAAATTGAATTCCAGTAAAATGAGTTAATTTTTATATATAACGTGATTTTACATATAACGTGATGAATTTTTACATATAAACAAAAAATGGTCATAGACACAAGCTTAATAATAGTGTATCAAAGCTGCCCTATGAGCAAGTTTTACACTTTTGATACATCATGGTTGTATTTAACTAAATTTTTAGATATTTCAAAAAATTTCGTT